CTATTGTTATTAAATTTGCTGTGAATTCTATTCGATAATCTTGAATTCCCAAACTTTCCCTTGGTTCTGTTCACATAATGATCACATTCTTTAATAATGTGATTATGAGTTGATTTTTATTGTACGAAGAACTGAACAAAACTATGTAGCTCAGCATTTTACTCATTTATATTGAAAGGTTGCTATTCCTTTGACCATTGTGGAATTCAAACATCCCCATTTCCTGCAGGCTCTCTGAGGTTATGTAACCATCCCACAAGACTAGGGAAAGTTTGGAAAAGGAAATTAATATGTTGGAAAGCTTCTACTTTAACAATTTATATTCAGCGAACTCACTGTGCAAAACCTGAGCTCTTTATATCTAGGCCCTCTTTACTGGAAATGTGATGTCTAGTCAGTCAATTTTGACAAATTGTTTCATCAGAGCAGGTTGGATTGCGTATGGAGTTCACTATAAAATGATTTTACTTGCTTTCTTGCAAGTTATTTTATAACTGGCATTAGTATTTATGTTTTCTTCAGCACTAAGCTATACAAAGCCTTTGCCCATGTACATGTGTGTGTATCTTAAATAAGTGTGCTAGTATTTGAAAAATAGTAACTTAGATTTAAATAATTAAAAAATTTGAAATTGTAATATTTTTAAAGTTACCACAAGTGCTTTATCCTGCATTAAAGACATTATTTATACAATTGAAAAGATATCAAAATATTCTAAAATTTCTTATCTAGATTTATCAGAAAACAGCACTATAATAATAAAAACTAGTAGATATCTCCCTTTATGATGTATTCCTAGTCTGATACACAGTATATATAATTGGCAAGCCTTCCTGTCTCTGTTCACTCACCAATCACCTGATAAGAGACATTCTAAAAGTCTTATCTTTGAGCGGGTGTCAAATTTGTGAATCTCATGGTTTTACAGAAGTGTAGAAGGGCCTATATGGCTTATCAAATTTAGTCTTTGGAATATCATGTAAACTAAACATGATAGGTTCAATCTCATCCCCAAACTGACTTAGTAATTTCACTGGATTTCACAGTTACAAACTGCATTCTTTTTTTTCATAAGGTTTTGCCTTAAAGTATGTGCATTCACCAGAGACAGAGAGTAAAAGTGAGAAATCACCCCTCGGGGGGGAATGACCACACCACAATCCCTTCTCTATTCTCCTCCTGGGATTTTTGGTGTGCACACATACATGACTGGTATGATTTTCAAACTGCCAGGTCTGGGACTTGAACCATAGTAGTCCATGTGGGAATTCAGCACCTTAACCACTATGCCACCTGCTGGTCCCCACAACTTGCATTCTTTTTTTTAGAGAGGTTTTTGCTATAGGGCGCGTGCGTTCACCAGAAAGCGATAAATTATCCCCCTGGGGGATGGCCATGCTGCGATCCCTTCTCCTCCATTCTCCTCTTGAGATCTTGGGCACGCATGCACACGCACCCAGTGTGAATTTAAGCCACTGGGTCCAGAACTTGAACCATGGTTGACTACGTGGGAGTCCAGTGACATAGTCATTACGCCAACTGCTGGTCCCACAACTTACATTCTTATGTGTTCTTCACATCAGGCACAAAGAGACCAGTGAACCTTATTGTCTATTCACATCTGTTGTTTTTCCAGGTGACTGAAAGAAAATAGTGTAGCTTTATTAATATATATGAAGGCACTTTCTTAGACTAGTGTAGAACCTCACTTTTTACTTATCTGAGGAGTCCTGGGGGTAACTCCCCTGCCCTCACTACTTAAAACCTCCCTCCCCCACCAGACACACATGCTCACCAACTAGAATGTAAAGGCCTAAGGCAGGCCTTGTGTGCCTGTTTTGTTCACTGTCAGCACTTAGAATAGTGATTGTCACATGCATTGATGTGCTTAATCAATTATTTTTAAATAAAGTAATTTTCTTCTTTTGTCTTGATTTGGACTAATGGAAAGACTTGGTACATCGTAAATACACAGTAAATATTTTAGGACAGATCAATGAACCAACCTAACACATTTCTGAGGAATAAACTACTAGATGTAACTAGCTTATACATGACATAAAAGGGAAAATTGTAGAAGTCCATTTGTTGACAGAATGTTCTGTTGTCTTCTCAGATATTTGGTGTTGGTGCTTTTGTATCAGGCAGCACTAAGGTGATAAGTTTTTTGTTAAAAAATGTAGATACTATTTTTTAATATATTTTATTTCACGTATTGATTTTGGTAGTTTCAGCTGAGGGGAAATCTTTAAAAACATGTAGATTTTTAACATTATATAGATTGTCTTGATAAGCAGCCAGAAAAGCACACCAGGAAGTTTGATAAGAACCTGCTGTTAAGAACACATTGCATTGGTTTTACCTTAATGCTAAGTGCTTGGGCAATTACTTGAAGTTATTTTATTTGCTGTATTTAATGTTTTGATAGATTTATAAATAAAGATAAATACACTTAGTAAAGGACAAGATCACCCACCAAGGAAAGGTCCTCGAGATTATTGGATTCTATGGCACCTATATCAGATTTCTTGCCCTTTAGCTACTCTGAGAAAATTGAGAACGGGGGCTAGCAACAAGATACCTATCCTACACTCACTGTGAGACCTGCTGAAATGTGGCCATTGTGAGCAAAGATTATGAGCCAAAAGAAACTCTTTACTCTCTCTAAAAAAAGAAAAAGAAAAAGAAGCTCTTTAAAAAGGTTCACTAAGGAAAACAAAAACAAGGAAATACTCTTTCATAACCTGTGGTCACTTACATAGACCCCACTGAAATATTTGTTGCTTTTCTGGTTACTTTAATCTACAGAAAAATTTAATCTAGCCTCTCAAATAAATAGTAGTTGTACCAATCAACAGGAACTAAAGCTTCCTCCAATGTATAGTGTACTAAAACACACAAAAAAGGACCTTTTTATGGTAGAATGCTGTCATCAGTATTATTTTGTGGTGTTTTACTTTTGTTGCTATTGTTGACATTATTTTTTTTCCTGTAGCACCTTTTCTAAGCCTGAAGAGGTTGTATTTTGAGATTCAGACTCTTATTTTTGTTAAGAATGACACAAGTCAGCCTTTTTGCATGAAATCATTCTATACTCTAAGGTAAATTCTTGTTGCTTAATCTTAGTAGCTCTTTTATGTATTGATTTAAACCTGGAAGAGTCTCTTATGAATGCTTGATTGATTGTGAGGTACATTTGAAACAACTTGTATTTTATAACCCTTCACAGAACTCTCAAGTTCTATTTAGAAAACAATATACTTGAGATTAAAATGGAAAATGGAATATGTGTCTAAAGAGAGTTTCTTTTTCTATGTCTGTGCCTTTTTATGAACTTTACACTCAATTTCATCCTAGCCGTTATTTGAGCCTAGAAACTAGTGAAACTGTGAAAACTATGCCTTAAAGAGGGCAGGGATTGGGGCTGGCAGGTGACATGGTGATTGAGGCACTGGACTCCCACACGGCTGACCAGGGTTCAAGTCCCAGACCTGGAGACTTGCTTTCCCAATTTCCCTCTCTCTCACTGGTCAAATTAAAAAATAATAATGCATAAAATTAAATAGATAATTCTTTAAAAAAAAAAAAAAGAGGATAGGGATACGACTTAAGTAGTATCCCACAAGGGATACCTACAACTTAGGTTGGGGTGGGGAGGATTCAATTTTTAGGAATGTCATAACAAATTACTTGAGAATAGAGTAGCTTAAAACAACAGAAAATTTTCACCTCTCGTGAGATCATAAGTCTGATGTTTTCTGATTGATGTGGATTTCACTTACTCAGCTTCAGTACTGATTATTTCTTAGGACTTCATCTCCCCCTAAAGAGGCTAAAGTTGAGGTTATAATCTAAGGTATGGTAGTTAGAGATAACCAAGAATCCTCAGGTACTTATAGTATATTTTAAATATATATTTTTTCCCATAGTCATTTAGGGGTTTCTATGCTGTTTTTACTATATTTAATATGTTATTTTAGTGGAGAATAGTTAAATGCTAAATATAAATTTAAAGTATTTTTCTCATCATGACAGTCATCCATTGATTATTGGCATGGAGAGTATCAAGGTGTGGATATTCTTCACTACTCTGTCTACTTTTAGATTCCCTTTAACAACTTCCTTTATGAAAAATGAATTTCAGTATTAATCCACCCAAAAAATATCAGTATATAGTAAAATAAATATTATTTTTAGGCCTATGACAGTATTCTTTCATGGAAGGCACTGAATATTTGCTAGTAGAACTACCATCAGAACTAATCACATGTAATACTGTAATACTCTTGCTATTCAACTCCTGTTGAGTCTTTGCAGTTTATTTTTATTAAAAATTTTTAGTTGAACAATTTGAGCATTTTCTTCTCTCAGGCTTTCACAAGGGTTTTATTTGTCCCATGTTAACTCTGTCTTTTGTTTCAAAACAAAATATCTAGATTTCTACATATCTTACAAAGTTTTTAAATGTGAAACAAACTCCTCTTTTTCTCAGTATTGCTAATTAACCAGTTATTTTCTATCAGCATTATGGATATCAGTGTTCATGTCGTCAGTCTGGGGTGATTTTATTCATCAGGGAATGCTAGCCATGTCTGAAGACAGTCTGACCAATATAACTTGGGGCCATTACTGGCATCTGGCACTGAGAGGCCAGAGATGCTTCTCCACATTTAGACTGTACGGGAAAGCCCACACAGACTCATCTTGCCCCACAAGTCAATAACGCCTTGATTGAGAAAACCCAACAGAAAATCTACATTCTTTGCAGCACAGGGGGATAAAGTGTCACCTACAAATTCAGCATCCATGTCTATACTCCCATAACATTATCCATTAGCTTATAAAAAAAATGTGAGGTGACTTGATATGAAGGAGTTGTTCTTTGGGGTATTCGAATATAATAAATTTGTCTCTATAACCTTAGAAGCTATAGAAATGGCCTCATTTGTGATTCAATTCATGTATTCCTTTGTGTTTTTCTTCTTTTTTATTTTTTTAAGCACTTAAATACAGATCCAGTCGAACAAATGAGAGAATTATTATTTTACTTGTTGTGGGACTATTTGTCACTACAATTGTTGTTGTTGCAGCCATTCTTTTCATCCCAGGTAAGACTTACAGTTCCTTAGAGGAAAGACAGGTATTTCAAAGATTGGGTTGGAGAGTTCAATTTTTAGGAATGTTGTAACAAATTATTTGAAAATTGAGTAGCTTAAAACAACAGAAAATTTTCTGTGAGACCATAAGTCAGAAATCAGCTGTTATCAGGGCCAGATTCCCTCTTAAGGATTCATGAGAGGATCCATTTCTTACCTCTACTAGCTTTTGGTGTTTGCCAAAAGTCATTAATATTCCTTAGTTTGTGGCAGAATAACTCCAGCCTCTTCCTCTATGGTCATGTTTAGCCCCCTGCTCTCCCCCTGTGTCTCCTCTGTGTGTCTGTGTTAAATCTCCCTCCACCTCTCTCTTACAAGGACATTCATCATCAGAGTTAGGGCCCACCCCTATAATTCAGGATAAGCCTCTCCTATGAAGATCCTTAACTTAGTTCTATTTTTTTGCCAAATAATGTACATTTTTTTGCCATGTAAGAAAGTATGCACAGGTTTAAGGATTAAGAGGAAATACCTTTAGGGCCACCATTTAACCCAGTAGAGAGGCAAATATTATTGGGCAAGACACAGAAAGGGAGTGAACATGGGACCTACATCTGTCTGAAATGGCATTTACATTTGTGGGACGGGAACATGAGTGGGAAATAAGGGCTTAGCACTTATAAAGAAAAGCAAAGGAAGGCTGAGACTCAAAGTGGCAGACTGTAGAACGTCACTGTTGTTTTTTGAGAAGAAAACAGTACAGGTGTAATGTTTAGGAACATAAATTTAGCAATTGTAGTTAGTGAGGGCAGGAGGAGGAAAGAAATGAATTCATATCACTTCAGAAACAATCAATTTGTCTTTGGGACAGATTTAATAAGGTAAATGAAGGGAATTGTAAAAGATGACTACAAAGTCTCTCATCAAGGATTCTGTAAGGTAGTTCAGAAGGGGGTAGGGCCAGTTCAGGGTTTTGACATGTTGAGAATTATGTGTGTTAAGTTTAGTCTTAAATAATTGAAAAACAGTAATTTATTTTGTATGAACTCTTAGGGGAAATATATATGTTTTAAGCCTTGTGCAGTTTAGAAGAGTAGTATTGAGATTAATTCGTTTGATAAATTAAGTAATAATGTACTTTAACTTCCTGAAAAGAATGAAGTATGTAGGAAAATATTTTAAATATTTTTATTTATTAACAGGTGAATATTCAATAAAGAATGCTACCGGACTTGGTTTAATTGTAGTTTCTACAGGAGCATTAATAATACTTCAGTACAATGTTTTTAGGGCAAGTGAGTATTGTTATTACAGCTTGATTTTGCCCACCTTTTTCATTTACATTGCAGCACTTTGGGTAAAAATACTCTGGTATAGTTTTTTTCACAATTCCATTAAAAACTAATTTATTAAAAGATTTTCCATGCTATTCTTAGTGACCTTTCTTCTATCCAGATTAATTTTAAGGTTATCTTAGATCTGTATGGCATTCAGTTATTTTATAAAATATTTTCATATGTATTTTATGCCAGTCAACATAATTTTAAATTATGCTATATCATTTTATAATGATTATCTTCATATTCTAATTTCAGTTTTTTAAAGTTTTAAGTAGATGTTAAACACTGCTTTCGTCTTTCATTAAGCCTCTGCATAAAAAGGCTACTCCCATAAATAAGGTTATAAGTCGCAAATAGTAGAAACTTTTTTTTTTTTAGTTATTGGCTTATCTTTACACTTACTTTAAAAGACAGTATGGATATCCAAACTATAATCAGTATAATTTTCACTGCATTTTGAGAGTTAATCATTAGCATCATTTTGTTGTTAAAGAGTCTCATTTTGTGCTTGGTCTTAGAGCCTATATCTGGCTTTCTGTAAACTGGCAAGGAACTAGTTCATTAGGAAGTCACAGATCTTCTAAATGCTCAAAGTACATGTTGTGATGTTTACAATCACATGTTTGCATAACAGTTCTCTCCACTGGAGCAAGTTTGTGTGCATTTGCAGAAGCCATGCATCACATCTATTCATGTTGTAAAATGCACAAGTATGGTAAAAGAAGCATTGTTCTAAGATTTTGGGTAAAAACTGCCAGTCCAGCTCAGCTGACTAAATATAAAAGGCTGCTGAATGTGCCAGTCTGGAGCTGACTGCTTGTGTGAAAGGGTTAGATCCCTGGTAAAGCATCTTCCATCTGACAGGGAACTCCAGAGTCAGTCTTTGGTCATAGGATATTATTCTTGGTAACACTAAAAACTATGTAAAGTGATTACTTTTTAAATACTCTCAACCCATTTCTGTTAATTCCTTTTCCTTCATCCAGCTTTTGGAATGACCTCCTTTGCCATTTTCATATTGACCTTACAAATACTGGGCTATGTACTTAGTGTGGTTGGAATGAGCCTCTGTGTCGCAGGTAAGGGTTACGTCCTTTTGTAGTCTCAATTTGGATTTCTTTTGGATAGAATTCTCCCTTCCTTCCTTCTTTTCTTCTATCCTTCCTTCTGTTCTTTTTTTTTTTCCTAATTTTCCATAGGACACACCAGAAAGAGACAGAGAGAGATGGAAAGTGAGAACCCCACCCTCACATGAGGAATGATCATGCCATAACCCCTTCTCCTTTATTTCTTCTTTCAGGATTTTGGGTATGTACACACATACACCTAGCATATTTGTCAAACTCCCAGGTCCAGGATTTGAACTGCATAGTCAGCCATATGAGATCCAGCTGCCTTAACTACCATACTACAGGCTGAGAACCAGCAGTTAGTGTAATGGCTATGTCGCTGGACTCCCACGTAGTCGACCGCGGTTCACGTCCTGGACCCGGTGGCTTAAAACTCAGGCCGGGCGCATGTGCATGTGTGCCCAAGATTCTGAGAGAGGAATGGAGGAGAAGGGATTGCGGCGTGACCACCCCCCCCCCGGGGGGGTGATTTCTCGCTTTCTCTCTCTATGTCTCCGTCTGTCTGGCGAGTGCACGCGCCCTACAGCAAAAACCTCTCAAAAAAAAAAAAAAAACAACTACCATACTACAGGCTGGCCAAGAGCTCTTTCTTTTTTATTCTCTCTCTCTTTTTAAAAATTATGTAAACTTTATTTTTATGGAGTAGTTTTAGGCTCACAGCACGTTTTAGCATTAAGCACAGAGAGAGTACCTCTTCTGCCTTCTTATAACCTACACAGCCACAGCCTCCCTCAACATCCCACACCAGAGTTGTACATGTGTTATCATCAGTAAACCAACACTGACATTCATCACCCAAGGTCCATAGTTTACAACAGGATTCAGCCTTAGCGTTTTATGTTCGGCTATGACAAATGTATGATCCTACATATCCACCATTACAGTGTCATACAGAATAGTTCCACTGCCCTAAAAATACTCTATGCTCCATTTCCTCCAGTCCCTGGCAATCACTCATCTTCTTACTGTCTCTACATTTTAGCATTTTCTAGAAAATCTATTAGTTGGAGTCATACAGTATATAACTTTTCTAGATTGATTACTTTCACTAAGAAATATACATCTAAGAGACCAGCAGATGGTGTAATGGTTTTCATTGGACTCCCACGTAGTCCACCATGGTTCAAGTCCTAGACCCAGTGACTAAAAACCCATGCCAGGCACATACACCTGTGTGCCCAAAATCCTAAAAGGAGACTAGAGGAGAAGGGGTTGTAGCATGGCCATTCCCCTTGGTAGTGGGGGGGGGTGGACTCTCTCTCATAAATATATATATATATATACACACACACACACATACATCTAAGTTTCATTTATGTCTTTTCATGACTTAATATCTCATAATTTTTAACTCTAAATAATATTTCAATGTGTGCATGTACCTCTGTTTATTTACTTATTGAGCAAAACCTTGGTTGCTTTCTATTTTTTGAGAATAAAGCTGCTATAAACATCCAGGTGCATGTTTTTATATGGAGATATTTTCAACTCCATGTCAGTAAATACCAAGGAATGCGACTGTTGGATTACATGCTTAGGATAAGTTTAGTTCTGTAATAAACTGTCAAACTCCCAGTATCAAAGTGGTTGTACTGTGAGCGTTACCACCACCAGTGAATAAGAATTCCTGTTTCTCCACTTATATTTCTCCATTATTTGGTATTATGAGCTTTTCTTTTTTTAACTCTCCCCTCTCTGTCAATAGTGCTTTTCATTATTGCTGAAAGAATATTGTCTGTATATGACCCGTGAGCTGATGGTTCTAGCAACCAAATGGCTTTGCTTATAGTTGTGAAGGAACTTCAAAAGTTAACCAGATTTTGTAGGTTGGAACCTTAGACTCCACACACTATTTCCCATTGGTCTTGATAATGATAAGATGTATCACACCAAAGTGGTATATCTTTTACCATCAATAAACCAACACTGACATATCATCACCCCAAGTCCATAATTTACAGTAGGGTTCAGTCTTAGTGTGTATGTTCTATGGCTATGACAAATGTATGATGCTACGGATCCAGCATTACAGTATCATACAGAATAGTTTCACTATTCTGATAAGGTGTGCGTTATGCAAATGAGTGCTTATTTTACTTGTAAGCCAGAGTTATTTCACTGATTTAATGCTATAGATAATTTTTTTCTTAGTCATTAGAAAAATAATTACTGTCCTTAAAAATTAATATTATTACTATTACTGTTTCCTTTAAATAAAGTTTTATCATTTCACATGCACTTCTAACATAAGTTCTATTCATTTTTACAGCATGTATACCACTGCATGGCCCTCTTCTGATTTCAGGTTTGGGTATCATAGCTCTATCACAATTACTTGGACTAGTTTATATGAAGTTTGTGGGTAAGTCAATCTTTTTTTTGTTACCCTATGTAAAGCATTTCAGATATGTAAATTTGGAAGGTGCTTTTGTTTGGCTCTTCTAGTTTAGGATCAAAGAAATTTATGGATAACTAAAAAAATGGAAAAACTACAATTGGAATGATTTGGGAATAACTAAGGAAGGCAGAAGTGATATGAATTAATGAAAAGTCTATAAACTACTTTAAAAGAAAATGGCTTTACATATTAGAACATGTAGCTCTTTTAATAGTAAAAGGAGAGATCTTTGAAGATCTATTTTACATAATGGGAAAGGACTTTTAATTGCCCCAGTATTTCTATGATAGAGCTCTTTTGCAGAGACACCTTTGTTTGTCATTTTCTCCTCTTCTTGTTCACTGTTGATAGATAGAAGGCCCCTAAGTAGACAAAATTGAAATTTAAGATCTGTCACTTTTACCAATTTAAAGAACAGTGACTTTTTTTTTTTTTTGGAGCGGTTTTTGCCATAGGGTGCGTGCGCTCGCCAGACAGACAGAGACAGAGAGACAGAAAGTGAGAAATCACTCCTTAGGGGGGATGATCATGCCGCAATCCCTTCTCCTCCATTCTCCTCTCGGGATCTTGGGCATGCACGCACACGCAGCCGACGTGAGTTTTAAGCCACCGGGTCCGGGACGTGAACCACGGTTGACTACGTGGGAGTCCAGCGACATAGCCATTACGCTAACTACTGGTTCCCGAGAGTGTTTTATTTTTTAAAAGTGCCTGAAACTAACATGTGACATGTGGTTTCATCTAAGCTAAAGATATTCTCTACAATCTGATTTATACTAGTCTCCTTCCCTCCCCCCCAAAAAAAAGCTTTATGGGGCACAGAAGTGGGTTATTATCTGTTGGTAATAAGTTTAGTATCCTCAACTGGATTAGTGCGAAGTGTATTCACATTCTGTAAATTCAACTTACAAGCAAAGTGATGTAACTAAATGTATAAAATTTAAAAAAGATAATAAAGTTTTTTATTTATGAAGTAAAACAGACTCTTTGTCACCTATCAAAATAATCTCAAGTGGAACCAGCAGTTAGCATAATGGCTATGTCGCTGAATTCCCACATAGCCAACTGCGGTTTGAGTCCTGGACCCAGTGGCTTAAACTCATGCTGGGCGTATGTGCATGCGTGCCCAAGATCCTGAGAGAAGAATGGAAGAGAAGGGATTGTGGCGTGGCCATCCCCCCTGGGGGGGGGGGAGTGATTTCTCACTTTCTATCTCTCTGTCTCTCTCTTTCTGGTGAGCTCATGCGCCCTATAGCAAAAACCTCTCCAAAATAAATAATCAGAAGTTACAAATGAATGGAGTTTAAGATAAATTGACATTTCTGCTTTGTTTTAGTTGATCTTTAATGTGTTTCTAAAAATTAGCACAAAACTTGAATTGGATTACTTGAACAATTTCCTATATGACTTGCATAATACTTTCAAAAACATTTTACCTTTATTTTTGAACTTAAGTTCTTAGTGAATGATACTTGAGTTTGATTCAGTTTTATTTTCTCTGTCCCTCTGTAATTAATGTTTTTAGATAAACTATTAAAATACTTTATCAAAATCTACTTATCTTTAGGTTATGTTTTCGTAAGTCTTAGTTGTTTTTCAGTAAAGCTTCCTCATTTTAATGCTGCATAAGTCCATAAAATACAATTAAGACATCTAAAGCAGAATGGCATTCATGTGGTAGCTTTGGTGTGCATTGTGAATGTTGAATCTATTGTATTGTTGAGTCTTCCAATCCCCATGTGTCTGGTTCTCAAAGATGATGCACCTGATTTTATAGTTCCCCATGTTTGCCTGAAAACAGCACATGACCTGCAAGATCCTCGGAGCTCTGATGAACTATTAGGTGTCTTTGACTGAAAAGGCCAGCTCTTTGTTCTTATTTCTTCCTCACTGTCTGGATGCCCTCCCTCTTATTCCCATGCCTTCCAAACCTAGCAAGGAATGATGTTCCATGCAGTTGTCATCAGGTTTCCTGTCGTTGCCTCAACTGAAATAGACACTGTCTAGCAGCCAGCGCCTTGACCTCACTCTGCCACCTTCTCTAGCACATACACTCCTAAGAAACCTATGTAACCACTGTCATTGCAATGATACTGTTCTAACATTAAAATCAAAATTAAAGTGAAATCCTGAACAAAATCCCCAAATTCTAAAATTACAGTTTAATATATAGATATGCTATGTATAAGTTAAGAATATAGTTCAATTTTATTGACATTTTGAGAATATCCTAATTTAACTTTTCAAATCAACCTGTCTGATGCCAGAGTACAGAGGCAAACCTTCAGTTGAAAGGCAAGAGGAGACAAGGTACAGGAAAGTTGCTCTTTAGGTAATGGGTAGACTAGAAAAATTAATGTGTTTCATGTATGTAATCTGTGTAAATGTGAATATATGTGACATTAAGGTTGCAAATTTGAGCATATCAGGAAGAAAAATTTAAATATTTCCAAAATAATTTTGACTTTTACTCAGTAGAGATATTTTATTTTAGAAAAATTTAATAAATGTATCTTGATTTAAATCCAGTATAATCTTCAAAATAATAAAAATATCCAAGCTCTCTCTTAAAAGTTCATATCCTTATAAAAATTTTAACTTTTAGAATTTTCATTACTTCCAAGTTTAAATTTGTAGCCTTAATTGTTATTTTAAAAAGTAGAATTTTGACCTTTACTTTCTATAGCCTAATTTTTAACTGTATTGGACTTTTTTTTTCCTTTTTACTAGAAACATTTAATTTCATAAAAGATATAAGGGGCCTGGAATGTACAAAAGATTAAAAGAAACCAACTATACTCAATGAAGTTAGACTTGTTGTTTATAGGGAGGGGTACATTCATTATTGATAGGAGTTAATGCTTATTCATTTTTAAAAGTCATTACCAGTTAGTTCAGTATAAAAACATTTAATAATGTTCAGCCAAGTAACAGCCAGAATCATACTTAGTACAACATACCAGGTATTTTTGAATGATATGGGTGCAAAATGTGTATGTTGAACTTGCATGTATTTATACACAGACACACACACACACACACACACACACACACACATACACACACAGAGTCATCTGTTGCTTAACGAAAGGGATATGCCATAAGAAATGTGTTGTTAGATGATTTATCATTCTGCAAATAACATGGCATACTTAAACAAACCTACATGTTATAGTTTACTACACATCTAGGCTATGTGATATAGCATATTATAACCTTATGGCACCAGCATTGTATATGTGGTCTATTGTTGACCTAATTGTCATTGTCATTATGTGACACATGACTTTATGTAGTGTTTGTGTGTGTGTATGTGTGTGTGTGTATAAATTTAGAGATATTTTCTTGCTCATTGTTGGGGAGAGGTAAATCTAGTGTCATTAGAAAAAGTGTTTCTGAAAAATTCAAGATCTAGAAATATATTATTCCATGTAGTCAGGTGTTTCAGTAAAAGAAAAACAAATCCAGAAGTATTACAGATGAGCTCATATGGAGTGCTTAAGGCTTACAGTTAACAAAAGTTATGGCTGTTAATGTCTTAGGCAGGTGGTAGTAGCAGATCAAGCATAATCATTCTTTTGCCATGCAGATTATATTCCTATTGAATAGAGTTAACTCAGGTGAAATTAACTTCTGCTCTGTTTAGTTTTATAATGTTAGGACAATCACAACTGCCTTGTATTCCACTGAGTACTCTTCTTCAAGGATCTCTTTTTCTCAGGATAGGCTAGTCAAAAGGAACATTCCTGGACCTGAGAATTAGAACTTACAAACTATTCTTTACCCAGTATTAGGAAAGAGAAGGAGTTATTTTGAAGTTCTTAATATTAATTTTAATAAATAAGTTTATGAGCTCAAAACTATAACTCTAAAATCTTAGCTCTTGCCCTTCTTATTATCAATCAGAAATTTAGGTAGCTGTTCAGTTCTCCTTTCCTTTATAGAACATAAATATCAGGTATGGGCCAATTTAAATATGTTGTGTATCTATAAAACAATGTTGACAGTCCCTAATGCAGTTCTATGTGGCCTATGGGTGGTGTAGTGGTTAAGTTGCTAAACTCCCACATGGCCAACCGTGGTTCAAGTCTCAGATCTGGTAGCTTGCTTTCTCACTTTCCCTTTCTCTTTCTCTCTCTCTCTTTGTTCAAATTAAAAAAAAATCATAACAAATAAAATTAAACACATAAATATATGTTTAAAAAATAAAGTTTCATAATTCTGCTTGTATTATTTGGGAGACTGCTATATGTGATACACCTCAACCTATTTTATTCCAGACTACTTAATAAAGAGGTTACCTTACATTGGGATAGACAAAGACTTCTTAAATAAGATCACCAAAACACAGGCAATAATGCCTAAAATAGACAAGTGAGATTATATCAGATTTAGATGTGTCTGCACAGCAAAGGACACAGTAGTTAGTGTGAATCAACAACCCTTGGAATGGGAGAATATTTTTGTAAACTATGCCTCAGATAAGGGACAGATAACCAAAATATACAGGGAACTCAAGTGACTTGCCTGGAAAAACAAACAAACAAAAAAATGAACCAATTAAAGGATGGGAAAATGAGCTGAACAAAAATCTGTCTAATTAAGACATATGAACAGCCAAAAAGCATATGAGGAAATGCTCAACATCCCTTATCATACGGGAGATGTGAATTAAAACCACAATGAGATACCCCCTAAGCCCTGCCAGAATGGCGAAGATTAAAGATACAAAAAAAATGATAAGTGTTGGAGGGGTTTTGGTGAAAGAGGAACTCTCTATACACTGTTGGTGATAATGTAAATTGGTCCAGCCACTGTGGAAAACAATATGGAGGTTTCTCAAAGACCTACAAATAGAAGTACCACTTGATCCAACAATCTCACTTCTGTATATCTACCCAAAGGACAGAAGAATGCTCAGTTGGGTAAGTGCTTGCACATCAATGTCTATTGCCACATTATTCATGATTGCTAAGACATGGAACCAACCCAAATGACTACAAACAAATGAATGGATTGAAAAAGTGTGGCACATACATTCTATGGAATACTATTCAGTCATAAAAAACAAGGCATTTGATGGAGAGTGGTCGAATATGGAAGTTTTTTGCTGAGTGAAGCAAGCCAGGCTATGAAAGAAAGATACTATATTTCTCCACTTAATATATACTGACTATCCACACTCTATGGTAGAGATTGAAATATCAGAGGACATAAAAAGCCGTGAAAATAGTTATGAATGCTGAAGACAGTGTGAGGAGAGGAGAGAAGGAAAGACTATAGGGAAGGAAATCAAGGAGAAAAAATAGGCATGACATTTGTAGGACATAGATACGGTTTATTACCTGTTGATGATAACATGTATAGTATTCTCGACTGGACTGGTCTGAAAAGTATTTCATGTTGGGTAAATTCTCTTTACAAGCCAAATGCTGTATAGCGATCAAATGTTGAAAAAATTAAGAATAATCAAAATGTAAAAATCTGAGTATCAGCTAGAAGCCTTTGAACCCCAAATACCCAAGTAAAATTGGCTCAAACCCCAACCCTGGTAATACAACCAGAGCTGATACTTCTGCTCACCACTCATGTCCAGAACTGAATGTTTCACAGACAAGATCCCATCTCTCACACAATATAAATTCAATGTTTTCTGAAGAGTGTCCTAACATGGATTGTATCAGAATTACCTGAAGTGCTTATTTAAAGTGATTTCTGGGCCCTGCTATAGTTAGTACCTTCTAGGGCTCTTATGCACACTACCTTTTAGGATGGGAAATTATTTTTAGCTAGATATAATTATTAGCCAAGTTTTACAGATGAGAAAACAAAGCTATAGAGAAAAGTAACCTGTCCATTGTCACCTGGCAACAAAAAAGATAGGAGCTGGCTCTTAACTTCTCCTCTCAACCTCTAAACAGTCCTGTATCTAGCACTATATTACAGAAGGTCTTGAGTGTAGCAGGAGCTTATCTCAGATAGCTACCCCCCACTTCCAAAGCCAAATTATACAGTGATTCAATATGTGAATGTTATTGTCATACTACCTGAGTTCAAATCTTGGTCCCAGCACTTAACAGCTAGTTGATCTTATGTTTATCATTTAACTTTGATGTATCTTTATCTACAAAATGGTGATAACAATACCTACTCCACTGAGTTGTTGTGAAGCTTAAATAAATTACACAGAAACTGCTTAAAAATAAAATAAAATAATTAAAATAAAATGAAGTTACTCTTTTGTGTGGATGCAAGGACCAGCCCACCTCCCCAAGTGCCTCAATCATAAGGGACATAAGATTTGTTACCAGCCTCACAAGACATGACAGAAATGGAGTCTCATGAGATCAGATATATCACTGGGCATTGCTGAGAGTGGAATCGCATGTAGTTTAAGAGTTGGATGGATCCATTACTTCCCTAAGACTTAGGTCACCATGTTGCCCTCTCAACAGTCAGTGTCCTTCTGACAGACACAGCTACTCTGTTCTTCTGTCTTTGATTCTTTCCCTGTTAGCCAGCCAGTTCAACCTCTCTTTTATGTCTCTATTTTATTCTATGCATCTCTTATCACTGATTTGTTTTCCCTACCTATAGCTCTAAGCATTGGTCTTCTTCTTACTTACTCTCCCTGCCTCCATTTTACCTTTCCTTCTCATCACCAACTTTCCAGTCCTCTTTCTGATACTCCTCTCCAGATTCCAGTGGGGAAGATAGACTTATCAGAAGTTGGTGGCCATCTTTCCTATTTGAGAAAGCCTTACCAGCTTTTGGCCAACCCAAAAACAGGCTATCCTTGAGTTAAGACCCACACCATTTCCTACCAGCTTGATAGTATGGCAGGTGGAAGAGAGATGTATTTAGGAACACTAAAGCAGTTCCACGCCTGCCTCAGTCTTCTGAGGTGCTGTCACTCAATCTAGGTGACATGGTTTTGACTGTTCTGTATTATAGTAGGGTCACTGTCCTGGTCAGTGGTTCACAAATGTTTCTGGTCAATTATTTTGTACCTGTGGGACTTTGATCCTGTGTTTAGGACTGGCATTAGCTGCTCTGGGGCCTCCTCACTTGGTTTTTCATAGGAAATATCTCTTTCCTATCAAGCCAGAGTAATTCTTTTCCCCTTTTTCATTTTCTTCATGCCTTTATTCCCTCAGCTTTTTAACTCATTCATTCAGAAGCAGTGAAAAAGCCACTTAGAAAGCTATGAAGGAATATGTACAAGAGGCTTGATTGTAACTACTTGCCTAGAATAACTCTTTAAACTCAAAAAGATCTAAATATTTTCTTTAGTTTGTTAGCTATCTGGACTTTGAAAAGTAGGAAGGTGGGGATGGAGGAGGCAGGGCTACAAGGAACAGGAGCAGTGAGCTAAGGGTGAGGGAGCAAGGGTGATGAGTCACTGCCACATTCTGTCCACTCTTAGCTGTGTGGAGGAGTGAAGACTGTGGAGACCAGGGTGGGGGTTGAGTAGGTGAGAGCATGTTTTCATCACAAAGTGTAAAAGGTGGCTGATTTGGAGAAGAGATGGCTTGTATGAGTGAGAGAATGCATGTGTGTATTATTTGATATAGGTGAGTTATTGACTCTTTTTCTGTTAATGCATATCAGGAATATTCGATTCTGTTGAGTAGACTGTCAAAGCTAGAACTCTTTCACTGGAGTTGTGGCACCTTCAGTTTTAGCCCTGAACATTTATCTTAAACATCTATTGTCTTAATTTGTTTTGTTAAATTTATATTCCTGGGTTTTTTATTTTTTTATTTATTATTTTTTTTTATTTATACCAGCTTCCAATCAACAGACAATACAGCCTCCTAGGGTAAGTTAAAATGCACTTAATGACTTGGGAATGATCACTTGATGGGTTGAACTGAGAAATGTGAGAAAAGGTCATTGAGATATCAAACTCTTTTGCTATGAGTTTAGTGCAACATTAATTAAGATGTTGAAGTTATTTCATGACCTTTGCATGAATGGGTCCAGTTCTAACTTAGTCATTTTAGAATTAATGGTTTAGAATAAATGGTTCCTTAAGATTGTACTGCCTTCTCGCATTCAGAACTGGAAAGTTTACGTGTAAGGAATGATGGTTATTATCTCTGGGATCAGAAGGAAGTTGATTCCAATATATTGCCTCACCTCCTGGATCCATTTAATGTCCATATACAGAATGATCATTTCAAATTTAAAAATGAGGAAGAGAAATTTATATTAAATTGACTTTATTAAAAAGTATAACCTACACAATAAACATCAATATTGCCAAAAATATCTGTTCTAAGTTTTGATTTATTCCCTTCACCCTTCCCCCATTTTACAAACATTTTTCTTCCTTAAAACTGTACGATAGGCTTCATTGCACCTGGGATACTTTAACAAGCTGAGAAAATTCCGAGAAAAGGAGAAAATTTAGGAAGCGATAAATGACGAAGAAAAAAAATCTTTCCAAATATGGACTCATCACCATGACAGACCCAGGAGCCATATTATGGAAATGAGATCTGGAAAGCACTATATAGTATACTCAGATTCCTACAAGGATTGATAGTAAATCTGTGGAATGCCAAAGCGAGTCTCCCGTCTGTGGCAGGAAGTGGAGGTTACTTACATATGCTACTAAGTGTAAGGAGCCTCAACACACAAGCCGAAGGGGCAAGTTAAGGTGTAGGTGTGCTCATTTTACCTCAGGAATGTATTCTAGAAGTACAAAGAAAAAGAAAAGAAAAGCACTACAGCTCCTTTGGGCACAAACAGCCAGACATTTTTAAAATGCTTCTTAGAGATAATTCAACCATTGGACTTTTAAATCCTACCACATTTTCTTTCCTAGTTCTTCAGTTCAATTTGCATGACTTGAAAAACGATCCTGTTTTACTCCTATCTCTTGTTTAACTGTATCTTTTTATTCTGTTGTTGCCGTTTCTGTTTGTACTTTTTTCTTGAGAAGTTAGGATTTTTGAGCTGAGAAAGGCAGAATGGGGTGGGAAATTCTGCACAAAGAAAGCACATTTAGAGAATAATATAGTTGTTATTAATGGAACTTGGCATTAGCCTTTACTGCATTATTTTTTTTAGACTGTAGAATTCACTGATTACTATATAGTTTAAATGTTAGTGTATTTAAGTTTTAGTATGAAAAGATATGAAATAAGTTCAATTTTATAAAAATGTATTTTAAATATTTTCCAGAAAGCTGTAGAGGAACCCCTTAATGGTATGTGGTTATTACAAACTTATATATTCTTCTTGATCATTACCAGATCATAATCTGAGTTGGCCCCCAGAGCCATTAGAATGCCCCATCTATGCCTTGGGAAGAATATAGGTTTTTGTTTTTGTTTTTCTGTTGCCTGATTGCTCTGTTTTTTATTTTTTTTTTTAATTAAGAATTAGGACTTTTGCTTTTGTAATATTTCTCACCTCTGGAAAAAATTCATTGCTGTTTTCTCAAATAATTGCTTATGTTACCCAAGTGACATTTGAGCAAGGAGATCATTATTATGAGTTATGATTTTCTCCCCTCAGCCTTCATACCCAGAACTGGAAAGTTCACATAAAGGAATAATGGTTATTATATTCGAGATAAGAAGGGTCACAGTCCTTTTATATAGGCCAAGATGAAGTGTATCATCCCCTGGTAGAGAAAAATTTCACTTACTTCCAATTTCTGATTTATAAATTTCAGAAAGATACAGGCTGTCACCGTAGTGTAAGACCAAAATGTTTCGTGTTACTTCTGTGTAAATCTAGAGCTATATTTCCAACTGAATCTGTTTCCTTTATGCAGGCTGTGGGTGTGCCCCACACAAAGGCTTTGTAATAAAACGACAAAATTAAAACAATTTAGCTGTATAGTTGCATAATAGGTGGCATGATATTATTGCATATTTGTTTATTCGAAAATGATTTGTAATTGTGGAACCTTACTAACTGCCTGCTTGGCTTGTTACTAATCCTTAGCTTTTAAAGAATCAAAAGGAATGATGAATGATGGTAAGTAGAAACTGTACCTACAATTATAGATTGTTTAAAATATGTACATTGAAAAAAATTTTAAATCTTCTTAAAAATATGGCTTTTTGTTTGTTTAATTAAAGAGACTCTGTCAAACCATAAAGGTCCACATTTAAGAATATATAAAACTTAAATGTACTTTGCTAAAACTTGCAAAACTGCTCTATTAAGTTATAGCATGTCACAAATCAGACTCTATTCATATTGCTCATAGCAAAGAGAATTTACCACTTTGGGTAAACATTCTTCAGATTCAGTGTCTGGTGACTGAAACATAAAAACACTTTTTATAAGGCACATAGATAATCTGGCACACATCTTTATCATTTTGACAGAGTTTCTTTTGTGCTTCTATTGGTGATATTGTTGCATGGAGACTTACTACCTCTGCTTCTCTAAGCAGGAACTTGGTTATGACCTTTCCAGAGATGCTGAAAGGTGGGGGCGGGATGTGGAAGTGGAGAGAGCTTTAATTACTCTAGCTTTTGCTTCTTTTTTTGGAACTATGTGCTAATAATAACTTCTAATCTTTATCGAATACAGTCATCCCTCAGTATCCATTGGAGAAGGGTTCCAGAACACCCCAGCCAATACCAACATCCACAGATGCTCAAGTCCCTTTTGTGAAATGGCATAGTATTTGCATATAAACTACATGTTTTCTACACTTTTATCTTCTCTAGATTATTTATAATGCCAGATACAATGCAAATGCCATGTAAATAGTTTTTAAAGTGCTTTTTTAATTCATATTATTTTCTGCATTGTATTGTTTTTTCCTTTTTCAATATTTCAATTATGATGGAGGAACCCATGGCTACAGAGGGCCAACTGTATTTCAAAGACAAAGATTTGTTAGTTCTCAAGGGTAACTGAGTCTGCAATATTGAGTATTTTAAGTGTTCATTTTTATTTTACCTTAACATGCTGTACAGTTTTTCAGTTCCATTAGTGTTTCAGTATCTTTGCGTTTTTATCTTATTATCCAGAATTGTTTTATACTTTTGATATCGGTAGTCATTCCTTGATCATGTACACAGTTTAATTGATACCTTACTGTTTTAAAGTCTGTGACCTACCTGCTCACCCTTTAATGGAGTATAGCATTTAACACAAGTCTGCATTCCCTGGAGTGCAATTAATTTTTGCATAAGATTAAAATGGTGGGGACCAGCAGTTAGCATAATGGCTATATTGCTGGACTCCCATGTAGTTGACTGCGGTTCGAGTCCCGGACCTGGTGGCTTAAACTCACACTGGGCGCATGTGCGTGAGTTCCCAAGATCCCGAGAGGAGAGTGGAGGGCAAGGGATTGTGTCATGGCCATCTCCCTGGGGCATGATTTCTTGCTTTCTGTCTCTCTGTCTCTCTCTGTCTTTCTGGCAAGCGCATGCCCCCTATGGCAAAAACCTCTCCCAAAAAGAAGGAAAAAAAAAAGATTAAAATGGTAAATTAAGTTTAAAACAACGTTTAGGCTTGTGTTCAACAGAATAATCCCACTTTTATAAGTTTGTATCATTCTTTATTACCAAAATGCTTATTTTGTTATACACACTACCACTGTCCTAAAAAAAAAAAAAAATTGTAGTTCATAGAAATAAATTAAAAGACCTAATAAAAAGAATTGATGGGCCCAGCAAATCATCTGGTGGTTAAGACATTGGACTCTCACATGGCTGACTACGGTTCGAGTTCTGGACCCGGTGACTTGAAAATCATGCAGAGCTCATGTGCAGGTGTGCTCAAAATTCTGAGAGGAGAGTAGAGAAGAAGGGATTCTGGTGTGGCCACCACCACCACTCCCCACCCCCTGTGGGGCGATTTCTCACTTTCCCTCTCTCTATGTATCTCTCATTCCAGCGAGCACATGTACCCTATGGCAAAATAAAATCTTAAAAATAAATAAATAGATAAATAAAGTAAAAGAACTAGTAACTGGAATTGCGGCATAGTTTTTCTGTGTTTATATTCTGGTGTCCTATTTTTTAATTTCTTTTTTTTTTTCCCTACTATTGTGTCATTCTTCTGTAAGTATATGAAGAAACTAAACTTTTTCTTATTTTCAGAAAAACCACAATGAGAACCTTGAGTGCCTCTCCTTTTCTGTTTCCCCTTAAATCATGACCTTTTTCTTGAACCACTGTGTTAAGAGATATTAAAATTAGTTTTTCCTTGAATGTCTTTGTGTTCATAGCACAGGATATCTATGATGGCCTCTGGAAAATTGTCTTAATTTTGCTAACTTTAGCTGGTCAAAATTTCCCTTTGAAATGTCTGTGTGGTGAGTTCTTCCTGCTGCCAGTCACTCCACATCCAGTGTCTATTTCATAGAAGAATGAGAATCAGTGTACCTTCCTAGGAAAAACCGGCAGGGCCACTTCCTCTTTCACCTACACCTACTCATATGTTTCTTTCACTTACATTAAATGAGTGGTGTCTAAAGTGAAAGGGTAAAAGATTATTCTAGGATCAGTATCTTTTGCTTTGAAAGCCAGCATCTCTTGGCTATTCCTCAGCTAGCCCAGCAAAAGAGATAATCAAATTGTTGATTGTTATTTTCATTCAGCATTGACTTTACCAAATCTAAAAAGGCTAATGATTTGCCTGGCTCGTGTCTCTGACCTTCGTTGATCTATTTTCTTTATTTTTAGGTAATATCCATCCAAAACAGTTCCAAATGTTTTGAATGCTTCAATTTCTTAATGCATTTGAAATAGATATCAATAGTGATTATATGTCTGCTTTTCATTTTCCAGAATAACTGAAGCATTGGACTCTGATTTGGAGGGTAGTGAGACGTGAAAGGAATACACTTGTGTTTAAGTACCATGGCCTTGATGGTTCACTGTTGGGGAGAAGAACGTGAGAAAAGTGACTGGTTTTCAACTATGGGAGAAAAGAAGTCGTTGACCATTAAATGATTGTTACAGTTAAGTTTTTATTCAAAGCAACTGTAATTTAGTTAATAAAAGAATTATGATCTGTGTTGTGTGCCCAACTGAGATCCAGTTTTTTGTTACTTTTATTCAATCAGGGGCAAAAGTCGAGGGGCAACTTCCAAGAATGATGCCTTTTGGATCCTAGGGCCTCTTGACTCTTGGTCACCAGTTCAGATTGGTTTGGGGTAAGAATTTAGCTAGCACTAACCTGGCAGTTACCTAGAAATTCTTAGGAAAACCAGTGGCTTCCATCAAACCTTATCAAACTCAGGTTCACAGCAGCTCTGGCAGTTGTGTTTTTAGCTGAGTAATGTGTCTGCCACTTCTGGGTTAAGGGAATAGTGAATTAAGTACAAACAGGAGTTTGGTTGGGAACATCTCATATGCCACCTACATGTGATAAGATATTAATGGAGATAGTGGTCTTCATTCTTGGGGGTTGCCATTCACACATTTCCCCTTTCCACATACAGTGTAACAGACCCTTTCCGGATTGAGGGTACCTTTGCCCATGGGTGTGTTTTTCTTTTAGTTACACAACCCTTCCAGCCTTGTCTTGTCCTCCTGTTATTTGCTTCTGCTGTACAAGACACAGCACCTTTTCTCCCCTTTGAACGTGGTCCAAGTGACATGGCAGCATCCGTTGCAAGAGGAGCCAGACCTGTTCTCAGAGCACTGTGTTGACACTTTTCAGTAAAAATAGCTATGGTTGTAACATATGTATTCCCTTCCTCTGATTCGAAAGCAGAAATCTACAGTGTTTTCTTCACTTCTTTTCTGATCTGGGGCATGAAAATGCGAGATTGAGATTTGATCTGTGAGTCTCCTGCATGGCAACATGTGTGTCACCATCAGACAATAGGCCCACCCTGGAGGGGTGGCTTTCTAACTGTTGTATCTATGTTGCATGACAAACACTCATCACCCTCCTCCTGTAGTCCTGCCTCGTACTCCCCTTCCCCTAAGATTGAAGGGTAAAACATAACCCCCACGTTTCCTACCCCAGTTAGAAGAAAAGTAACGTTCTGAAAGTTGTGATCGCTTGGAGTACTTTTAGATTATTAGCACTCGTTTTTTACCTTGTTTGTGGGTGTGTGTTTGTGTGTGCACATGTATACGATAGGCACATGCATCTTCTGTATGGGCAAAAGTGGGGTACCTACAGGAGAGCAAATGTTAATTTTGTGCTCTTAGTAAAAACATTTAAAAACGAAGACCTTTATTGGGTGGATTATATTTGATGCAAAGATTTGATCACTTAAAACTTTAAAAACTTGTAGGTAATTTGCAAAGCTTTTTGACTGCTCACCAGTACCCTCTAAAATGACTAGTAATTCTTCCTGTTTGTGTAAAAGACACTCATGTGTGTAGTTGCATTAATAATGGTTACTTCTTGAATGTTTCCATGTGCCTCTTTTATGCCAAATTAATTGTCATATTTCATGTTGGGACCAAGTGGTTTTGCCCATGGCAAACCTAAAACTCATGACCTGCCAAGACCTCTCAGAAAACTGAATACACTATCAAGACAGCTCTTCTTGGGAAGCGAAAGAAATTTTCTTCCCTGATGATATAGTTGTCCAGATGTTAGCCTGCGTAGAGAGGCTGTACTTCTTTCTACAAATGTGATGGCTCCTGCTGCCCTTTTTCCTTCTGAAAATACTTCCATTTTGCTAATAGAGTTTTTTACTTTAGAAATCAGTTTTGATGAAAGGAGGGAAAAAAGCAGATGGACTTGAAAAAAGATCCAAATTCCTATTCTCTATAAGAAAGTTGAGTATAGAAATCTTTGTAGTACATTTTTTTATAAACCGAAGTTGTACCTTTTAATATGTAGTAAGTTCTCATTTACCTGGAGTGCAGTTGGGGGTCTCACCACCTGTTTGTGTTCTCATCGATGCTGCCTGCCTTCTGAGGCACTCACTGCCCTAGACAGTGCTACCAGAGGTGGCAGGGGGAGCCAGAGGGAATCCACCCTTGCCCTGACACATTGTCAGCTCCTCTGGATAGGGCCCCACTGTATCAGGAGTCCTCGTGCTTAGGCATCATTGGGCCAGTTCCTTCTTTCTAAATTAGACTCGCAGTAATGGCTCCCCATTTTGTCAAGTCAAATTTAAATTGCTAACTATATTTTGAGCATCAATATCATCCCTCACCCCATATATGCTCTCTACTCCCTGATCCCAACTTTCACTGTCAACTTACCTGTTCAATTTTATTTATTGTGCATCCTAGAGTGACGGCATCTGTCATTTTCTGTAACAACCTTCCCAGCGTTTTCAGCCCCATCAAATGCGTCTTCTCCTTCAGAACTTTCTACTCATCTTTTTTCCACACAGCTGTCCTTTGCAGTCTGTCCTAGTCTATCAACCTACCTAGTTAATCTCCTCTTTACCTTTGTTAGTCTTTTGTGTATCTCTCCTTAGCTCTATTGGGTTTGTGTTTTCTGTTTGTAAAATTTTTTTTGTCTTGTTCCTCTTCACCTGATTTTAAAAATTCCTTCTATAGTATGAGATTTCTTTCCTCCCTTCTCTCTTCCTGCAGTGTTTTCCATACTCTAAACACTCAGTGCGTAAGTTGGGTGACTGAAAGCTGACTGTATTTAGATTTCCCACTATTTTTAACAGGGTGAACCACAGAGTGCTTTTTTTTTTTTTTTTGGACAGATTTCTTATGCTCTGAAAACCTGGAAACTCTTAAGTTCATTCTGTTTAAATTCCTGGGAATGTCAGAATTAAAATAATGGGGCCCTTGCCACGTGGCTGGGAGTGTTGCTCTTTTCAGGACGCTGTAGTCAGGTTAGTAAGTGACCAATCAAATTGTGGTTTGAGTTTATAAAGCTCAAAAAGAGATAAGTTTACGTCTTCATTGCATTAATAAAAATTAAACTCTATATCAACTTCTAGATTTCTGTTGTCTTAAAATGGGTATTGAAAAATTGAGATCTATGGTGTATGTGTGAAAATACATGCCCTTTTATTTACCTGTTGTTTGAAACTGGAAAAAATGAATGTCAGGCAGCCCTTTTTACTGTATTTTATTTGACTGAGGGTTTGTTTAAAGACATTAGTTTTACATGTATCATTTTCAAAATCACTAACTGCCATCACCCACTGGGGGTCCTTTATTAAGTCATTTTCAGTGGCTAATAGAGTTATTCCAGATAACTTTAAAGAGACAAGTAGAGACCAGGAAATTTTCCTGCCTTTGGCTTTGACAGCGCTTAATTATGATCATTTAAGACCAGCTTTCCCATAAATTTAGCCTTTTGAAAAAAAGAAAGCATTTGTAATAAGCTTCTCTGTAAGTCAACATCAGTGGAATCTTAAAAGTGTTGTTATCATGGTTGGTGAGAGAGGAAAACATTTCTGTTTTTATTAAACTGAACATTATTTGCAAAAAGCCATTGTTGAGAATTAGATCCTTCATCGTATAAATATCCATTAACTATTCTAAATAAAGAGAACTCCACTGTTGCTATGTGCAAGATCCTCTCTTGGGAGCTTTTCTGCATAGCAATTAAAGGTGTGCTATTTGTCAGTAGCCATTTTTTTGCAGTGATTTAAAGACCAAAGTTGTTTTACAGCTGTGTTACTGTTAAAGGTTTTTTTTTTATATGTATTAAATCAATTTATCACTGTTTGAAGCTTTGAATATCTGCAATCTTTGCCAAGATACTTTTTTTATTTAAAAAACATAACTTTGTAAATATTACCCTGTAATATTATATATACTTAATAAAACATTTTAAGCTATCTTGTTGGATTATTTCTATTGTTGCTGTAGCAGATCACAAGCACATTTCTGAGAAATGTAGTTTTTAAATCTATTTTTAAGTTGTCTGCATTCTGGGAAACAAGGCAAAGGATTACTTAAATATTAATTATAAATGATTTTTTTAAAGTCTACCTAGTAAGTAAATTTATAATCCGAGCAAAGTTATAGTTAGAATGTTTAAACATTATGGGTTTTATAATGATTTTCGACTAATATTTAACATGATGTAATAGAAACGTTACAGGAGAATTCAGGAGATGTGAGTTTCGGTCCTAGCTGTGCTACTGAGTAGCTGAGGACTTGGGAGAGCTGCTTCCTTACGTCTCAGGGTCTCTCCTTATCTGTGTCATGAGATAAGCCTCTTCCAAGACTAAGGTGTATGGTTCTCCATTTTAACTGTCTGTTAATTAGGACTATTTGATCACAAGTGAAAGATAACCTTAATCTAAGAAAAATGGATCTGTTGTTAAGTATCCTGAAAATTCAGATGTACAACTGGATTCTGGGCCTCTAAACAGTGTCATACAGACCTGTTGTCTTGCCAGCTTTCAGTTGTACCCTTCTGGGTGTGGTCTTCCTCCCAGGATTCATGGGATAGCAAATTACTGACTACAGTCCCAGACCCACCGTCCCCAGGGTCAGGGAGAGTAGACGGGAGAAAAAGAGTACCTATTTCTCAGTAGTTCCGTTTCCCCCAGATGTCACCTCCATGCTCCAAGTCACATACCATCCCTCATCAGTGACAGGTCATATGTCTCTGGCACTCTGATTGAACCAGACTGACTCCCATACCTAGCCTGGAGTGGAGGTCATGGGCTCCATCTGCAGCACACAAACCTGGCAGGGGGCTGGCACTAAGGGGAAGCTTTCTTGAAGCAAAATCTGGGCATTCTTGTCCAATGCCAATGAGATATCTGTAGATTTTGGACACAGAATTCCTAGTAAGGGCAGTGTTTCTTCAGGTCTGCACTCTATGACTGCATCATATGTGTGATTATAGACTACTTGAATGGAAAATAATATTTGGCAGCAAAGTACCATCTCATTCCTTACCTCGTAGGCAATGCAATTTGTATGCATTTATGAGGACTTTTTCACTCTCAGCAGGAGTAACTAATGGAGCTCAGAAAGCATTTAATGGCCGTCCTCCTGCACTGAAAGCTGCTCTGTATAGCCCAGAGCTGTACTCAACCTGATTAGAACTCCCACGGAGGTGCAGGCTTCCAAAAGGAACTGGATTCCACTTTTGTGCTGCACCTTTCCACATCAAGGCCTTGGGTTTGACAGCTTTAGAAAATAATGGATTATGGTAACACCATCCAGGTAGGACCTGATCATCCTAGTAGCTCAGACATTTAAGCACAGTTGGCAGTGTTTGGTCTCAAAAGTGAGGTTATGCTGCAATTCACATACCCAGACTTTGTTTTTTATAAGCTTCATACTCAATTACTCACCCACCAAATCAGAGGAAAGTGAAGTATATTTAACCCTAAGTTATTGATAATTGGACTGATTATTTAATATTGAAAATAGCACTACAGACTGGGTAGAAGTATAGTGGGATTAATGATCAGAATTCTCTTATTTAGAAATTATTTACTGCTTTATTGATTCATTTGCCTGGAAGACAACAACTTTTCAGCTCTGATAATAGCCAGTTGTGGAACATCAGGTACCTTTTCCTAATTGGGAGTATAATAAATGCTTGGTAAGGAGTCCAGTTTGGAGAGAAAGAATGTGTAAATCTGAAAACTGCAATCGGATAGCATGCTGGTTTTGCAAATTTGCACAGCTGCAGCCATAGCTTTCTTAGTGCACAGATGTTGGGACACCAGGCATGTTACCTGGCTTTCTGGGAACCTCTGCTGATAATAATCTTATTTGATCATAGATCCAACATCCAAAACAAACAACTATAGTTTCACTTTTAAATTCTCTTTCAGTTCCCTGAGATAATCATCAAGGTTAAAGTGACAGCCTTTAAGCTGTTAGACTTTCTGAATAAAAGGAGTTGTTCAAAAACTTTGAGTATATTATTAATCCATGGGATATATTCCATGGATCTCTCTACTTATTCATTTTTTTTAATTTTAAAAATAAAGTTTATGAGAGAAAGTGATTTTTTGATAGGGTCTCACCTTGATGTAATCCTCCCTTAGGATCCTCCTTCAAGATCCTCCTGCCCTGGACTTCTAGGTAGCTAGGTACACACACCATCACACCTGGCCCGTTCAGTTTGCGCTGGGAACCAAACCTGAGCCTCCCGTGTGGTCATAGCCTCTGAACAGCAGCATCTCAGCAGCACTCCCACTGCTGCTGAGCCCTTATTTTTTTTTTAATTCATTTTTATTAAACGTTTGCTTTGGGGGTGCTCTTGTTACCTATCCTCGTTTGTACCACTCATCATGTATGTAACACATATTTAGGGGGAAATACATCTCTGACCTGCTAAAGGTATCTGGAAAGTACTAAAACCTTTGCTTTCCACCTCCCACAATCTCCTCCCCCAACAGTTGTTGGAAGAGCTACCTCACTGCTTCAAGGAGGACTCTGCGTGGTTTGCCTCCAACCTAGGCAGCCTCTTCTCCTAGGCAGTTCACTCTAGAAAAGCTTCTTACCCTCCAGGGAATTTCGACCCCAGCTCAACTAGATGTTTTTAGAATATGACGTTCAGAAGCCTTAATTCTGCAAGCAAGCAGATGCATATATTTGATTACCTGAAGAACCCTTTCTTTATTGCAGTGTTATCAAGTGTTCAGTTGTCACAGGTGGTTCAGTATAGAGCTTAGATTTGAAAAATTTGATTATTATGAATTGGGCAGAGCCCATGTCTCCTCATATCTTGAGCTATAGACCTTGCTCTTGATGGGAATTGTTCTGGTAACTATTTCTTAATGAACAGAAAAGAGTTACCTGGATACTGTGCAGAAAGATACTTGGAAATACTAACAACTATTAATTTTTCTCATGCTGTACAAAGAAAATTTTCATACAGGTATAGAACCTTTACACATTTAGCCAGTGGAGCATTTGTTAATTGATGACAAGAGTTATGTTTGAAATTATACAAAAAAAGATTTTCCAGTTTTTTCAAAAGTATCACATTTAATGAAATTAATAGTCTTATATTATTTTTATGTCTCTGAGCAAAATATTAAATATGTTCTCCTGAAAAAATATTTGATTAAAGGCTTTTGCTGGAATGGTCTACCATTGGGCCTTTGAGGTAGAACTGCTTTTTTTTTTTTTTGGTTTGGTTAATAGGTCAGGTAGGTTTGCCCCTGGTGGAGGTGTGGTAAGCAGTTAGCTAGTAATAAGCCAGCTGTCCTAAAAGAGTAGCAGAAGGACACATGCCATATCAATCACAATTTATCAGGAGTTACAACCAGACCCTCCATGAAATGCCTTCTTCCCACCCAGCTCCTGGCACTGGGAAGGCCAGGCAAATCCCATTTTTCTTCCTTGGTACCTGAGGAAGACACATAGGAGTGATTGTAAATTTCCCTCTTACTATCCCTCATAAATAAGAAAAGACCCAACCAGACAGTTTGGTCAACATCATGATTCCTACTGG